GAGCAATGCGCACACCAAATATAGCGAAATTTAATTTTTTTAATTCCGTTTATTCGATTCGAACCTCCTTATAAGGTTTAAGAAGAAGTAAAAAACGTGTTCGTTATTAAGCATGGTGTGTATCTAAATAAGTCTTAATCCTATGTTACATGCAAAACGCACCAGCTTGTTTGACGGTTCCCATGGCGCTCTCAAAGCTACTTCATATTAAGGTTCTCATTACACAGAAGATTACGTACCGTTAGCAGCAGATCGCAACACATCATTTGTTGAGTAAACGATGAAAAATCACAGCATATTCGTGGAGTGCACGATGATGAGTGGTGCGAAGCGTCCGCTCATTCGGGAATCTGTCCATGCGTCCGTCCGTCTGTGCGCCAATCCGTGCGTCAGTCCATGCGGCTGTTTGTCTGTCCGTCCATCCATCCATCTGTTCGTTCTTTAGTGAACACTCCAAGTACCGCCATCTCGCATCTTTTTATCATATATTCAGCATATAGAAGTAACGCCATCCAGCGGAGATTCCAAGGACTAATCAAGAGGTGGCACTCGCACACTTTCTTACGGCCTGCGCTTCGTGTCTACTTCCCACCTTTCACGGCCTCCAGTTCATGGCTATATAATAGTTCACTATCTTCATGGCACTGCGCCCAACCCTCGCTAAACCTTGCTAAAACCAAGGAGATTACGCCCAGCGAGTTTAACGTGGCAACCTTTTCTGGTCAGATGGTGCTCAAAGTGCGTCTTTCTGATACTAGTTTTATTTAGTAAGCATCAAATTGAAGGCAAATTTTATTGGAGATTAAGTCACCAATCCTCGTCTCTGTCAGTCATTTCATAAAAAACAACTATCTTTTTTTATGATCAACGTGCGTGGATTTCCTCCTCAATTCAAAAGGGTGCGTGCGTGCCGCTGCTCTATAGTCTGGCCGTGTAGGTGGCTTACTACTACTACTACGACTACTACTACTACTACTACATACATCGTGGGCGCCCAACCAACGGCATAGAAAGCTTTGCCCCCAAAAAGTTACCTGGCGTAATGCTACACCCGTACACGCCGGCTATTTACGTCGAGAGGGCAAAGCCTCAATCAAAACGCCGGTAATGACTGCGTCTACACTGCCGCCCTTCAATCATGGACGTGGGCAAAACCATGCGCTTTGCGACGTCGATGTGAGCATAGCCATACAGCTCGCAGAACCTGATGGAAAATCGAAAGCTCGGCATAGTCGACTGAGACGCAGAACAGGTCTTCTTGCATATCCAGTCGAAGATCTGCGCAGGAGTGCAATGCGAGCACTGCACAGAGCCAGCTATCATGAAATGCTATCGCTGTCTTACGCACGCACTTACGCCTTGCCGGTGGGTTACGGCGATGGGAATGTTTCGGTGCAAGGCAGGCGGCGAACAAAGCACCGCGTCGAGGCGAGGCCGGCCTTCGGAGCGGTGCCGGCGCAGTTTCCGCGGCGTGCTCTCGTAGACACCGGATGGTCTCAGTGTTTCTTATCAGCGCCGGTGCATGGAGATACGCATATTTTTCCCAGAGCTCGTGCATTAAAGGCAGCTATATGCAAATGACCTTTGTTGCGGATCGACGATAGCTCTGCCAGTGGTTCAACATTGCGCGGCTGTATTATTCGAAATTTACGGCGCGGACGGCTATGGCGGTATGGTTTGGTTGGGTATAGGTATACCTGGGCTGCCTTATGGATTACAAAGCGAAAACGCACGACCTTTTACGCATGTTACTCGGGAAACAACAACGCCGAGAGATGAGAAAGTCAGGAATGCTGACCCCGTTCGTCGGCATTCCGATGGCTTTAGGTGCGGAAAGCAATTTTTCATTCAACGACCACCATTTCGTTTCCACAGAGATGTGGGATGTTGTGCATGTAAAACTTGCCTTTGCGTGACGAAAAAATTGTTCAGTAAGAATATTGAAACAGCTATTCGTCGTTTGCTGATGCGTTTATATATATAAAAAAACGGACACGCTTGCTTTGTCGTAGATGTGTAAGGGTTCGTATGCTAGTGGGAAATATCAGTACAAGGCTGAATTCACTTTGGGTGCACGTTAAAGAACCCCAGGTGGTCGAAATTTTCGGAGCCCTCCACTACGGCGTCTCTCATATATATGGTGGTTTTGGGACGTTAAACCCCACATATCATATCAATCAAGGCTGAATTCACACTGAATGTGCGTGTATGTTGGCCAAGGCTCACGGCAACTGATGGTTGCACCAGCGACCGCGTCGTCTTTCCTGTCTTATTGATTCTTCGTATACATTCCTCAAAATGGTTGATTTGCAAGCAAAGTAGGCAGTTGCGAAGAACTTCGTCACTCGACATGTGTTAGTGGCTGGTGCGAATTCGCTCCAAGTATAAACTTTGGCACTGCTCTGCATTGTCAATACTCCCGCGAGTATATAGAATACAGCGAGGCTTTGATGTTAATGGGGTGTAATCCTAACAGAGGGGATGCATGGTGTATGTTTACGAGGTCGAATCATGTGCGCTTTCGCAACCCAATAATACGCATGCGTTCAATTGGGTTAAAGTGGAAACAACGTATATATGCAGGTGACCTGCGGAGTTCCGGTACTTTCACCCGTAGGTCACGGGATCGAATCTCGGCTGCGGCTGCTGCATTTCTGATGGAGGCGAAAATGCTGTAGGCCCGTGTGCTCAGATTTAGGTGCACGTTAAAGAACCCCGGGTTATTGAAATTTGCGGAGCCCTCCGCTACGGCGTCTCTCATAATCATATGGTGGGTTTGGGACGTTAAACCCTACATATCAATCAATCAATTAATCAATCAATCACTCCGGTACTAGATGGGTGTGGGAACAACGTCATGCATGACTTAAAACTTGTCTTTTGAATGTTTACGTAAATTTCTTGCCGATTTTCATCTTAGAGCTTAGGTGTACATTGATGTGCAGTTATACGCTCTGAATGGGAGTTACCTTCAGCTTCATTTCAACCGAACTGTATGCTTAACATAACGTTCTCAAATACTATCGGAAAATTGCCAAACAGGCATTTCACGAACAAGACGCATTGATAAATCACCAGCAGGTGCTACAAAGATTTTTCACAGGAAGAACTCTAGTGTGTGATGCCTCAGTAGAGAGATACGATTACGCGGCACATAGCTACGGGAGAATACGGGTCGATTTTGTCCACCAGAGTTCTCTAAGCTCCGCTTCATTGAGAGTTGCAGAGTTTTTTCCTAACTACGCCTCCTTCGAAACAAGGTTGGCCGTGGGCAGGAATCGAACCAGCGTCCGCGAGCACAGCAGCCCTACAATTTAGCCGCTAAACTACCACTGCAGTTTTTGGAGAATTGTCTTCCGAGAAATGCGGGATCTTCGTTCACTTCATTGTTGCTTATTTTTAAACATCTTGTTTTGAGTACAACAATCCAAACATTTTTTATTGGCACATGACTGTGCCATCAAGGACACTGTTGACAGTCCGTTGTGCGTATATATATATATAGCTTGTGGCTCCTGGGAAGCGCTTGAACATCTTAAAATATGCACAGTCCCGCATTCTCCCACAGCAGGCATTGCAGACTAAGAAATACCAGTTCCATGGATTTAAAAGTGGGCAACTATAGAGGATTACCTCTTTCCGTGAAGTTGTGTTTCTCGACGCGACAAGAACCATCAAGCTCTACTGACTTTTAGGTACCAAAGGAGCCAGGCCACCCACTTATACACCTTCTTTAGTGTGTGTTTTTTTTTGTATGAACTGTTACTAGTTTAATTCTTCGTCATTGTTTTCTTTGTAATTCCCCTCTTCTTTTCTTTTTCTCTTCTCCTAACTTCATTTCCTCTTCCCCCCTCCTAAATAGAGTAAGCAGGCGTTGTGCCTCTCCAGGTAGCAGTCGCTCATTGTTCTCTTCCTCTTTTATTACGTGTCCTTGCGTATCTCCGAATTAAAATAAATAAATAAATAAATAAATAAGCAGTTTTAGGAGAACATATCTGTGGCATAAAATGAGCGCGTGCTCATTTCATGCCACAGATATGTTACTGCAGCAGATTGCTGCAGTAAATATAATAAACTTATACCGCTCATTGGAGCCAATTTCATTCAAATTGATCAAGCGCTATCGCGAAAAAAGACTGCTTGATTTAACTGGAATTTGATAGGTTCTCATTGTCCATGACAAACTTAACTGTAAAGTTCGTGCGTATCATTATTTTTATCCTTCGAACGCAAAGTCTAATAACCCACGGAAACTATGCAAAGGTAAACAAGACATCGTAACGCAAAATAAAACAAACACAAACGCATGGCTGCACTAAGTGTTAACCAGATCGCCCAGCAACACGTTACATTAAACTAAATTTATCATAAAGCAGATAATAGCAGACAAAAGTTACCAAACACAAATTTCATGTTCTAGTGGCGCACTCACAGATTTGGGGGAGGGGGTTGCATATGTGTTTTGCGTGAGGCGTTCGCGTACAAACACACGCACGAATGTACATAAAGCTGATTGACACCCGTCCTCACCCCGAAAAAACTTCTGGCTGGACCCAAGCGCTGCACCTTGGCCGACGCATAGGGGGTCTTGGCTGAGCCAACGAACGTGTCTATTTTAATATAAAATCGTTTCTCTCTTGCTCTACGTTCTTCGCACTTACCTTTTACACATTCCACAAAGGCTGCGTAGTCGCTTCACCATACGCGAGCAACGGGCCCCGTCGCGGTGGTCTAGTGGCTAAGGTATTCGGCTGCTGACCCACAGGGTGCGGGTTCGAATCCCGGCTGCGGCGGCTGCATTTCCGATGGAGGCGGAAATGTTGTAGGCCCGTGTGCTCAGATTTGGGTGCACGTTAAAGAACCCCAGGTGGTCTAAATTTCCGGAGCCCTCCACTACGGCGTCTCTCATAATCATATAGTGGTTTTGGGACGTTAAACCCCATATATCAATCAATCAATACGCGAGCAACAACTGTTCTGCTTGAAATAAAAACGAGACATATGTATGATAACTTTTATTTCTTTCAGAAAATTGTAAAGGAGGTATCTTTTTTAAGAACAAATGTTCTAGTTACGTAAAGATGAGCAACCGATCCTCGGTACACTTCTGCAATTTTATCGCGATTAAACAACGTTCTTATGAAATACTATATTGAAGAATAAATATCTCACTATTAGGGTGACCTTACCGCCTGCGCTTCGACAAGTTTGACGAACACGCACGTGAATCGACATTGTTCTGATAGAAAAAAGGCTAATATAACACTCTCCAATAGCCAGAACCTAACGATAGTACGCTTCGTATTTGCCTTGCTACTCCACATTCACATTTCAAGTTATAAATCATCACATGACCGCTTCTTAAAAATCAGTGTTCACGAATACGTTCTTCCAGGCCATGATTCAAACACTTACTTCGATTTTCCTAAAGTTGAACATTCAAAACGCGTGCAGGCATGAAACAATTGGTGGAAGTCAACCAACACAGGCCTTTAATAGAGCTCTCAGGCTGCGCAATTCCGTTCAGGAAATGCACAATGAACAAACTGCTACCTTTACTACATTAAGGAGGGAAGGCCTTGGGTATGGCGGCTCAGCTAATTGATGTAGACTGTGTATCAATGCGAGGGAAGTGTATTGTATATTGAGTTTTTCGGTAGTAAAAAATGTGTATGGCAGCACTTCGGCAATCATAACTTCACATACAGCTCCGTAGATACCATATTGTAACCTCCCGCTAAGTGAAATCCACTTATCTAGTTTTTTTAATATTGTAAACAGTAAGAAGACGTTCTCACGTATTTTCGGGTGCATGCACAGCAGCGCTTCTCACTGAATACTGAATACTCTTACGTTGAAACAGGCTTCAGTAGCTCGCCGTAGTGGCTCAAGTAGTGTACAACCACTGGTACCAAAAACAGTCATATAAGACCCTTGCAACGTCCAGAGTAATCTCTCCCAACCATTACTCTTCTGATGTAAGAGAAACATGAAGTTCACGCGCTTCTCTTTCACAGCCACAGCTCAGCATCACTTTACTTTCCAGTCTCGCTCGAGCCGAAAGAAAAGCTGCTGCATATAACAGTTTTAGTTCAAACTGCACTCATTCCGTTTATCCTCCGGCTTGTCAATTTCGCTGTCGAAAGCGTTCCAGTGCAGCTTGAAATGTGTACACGCAACCTATCTAGAATGAGCCTCGGGTAGTTCCCCTGTAAGGTCATCCCGTGTATGTGATAGCTCGCATAGCAAGAACGGCAACCGTGGCAAGAGACGCTAAGTCTCTTGCAATTGCCCTTCATCGTAATTAATGGGCCCACTCCGCTGTATCACCGATACTTCGCTCCACAAATTCACCGGTGCCCCAGAAAAAGGCCACGTTCCATTTGACGATGGGCCTTGCATAGTCCCTTCAATTTCTTGAGAAGTAGGCACCAAGAGGTTTCATGCTATATTCACAGAGAACAGAAAACCATGGGAAACTGAAAACGTCAAGACTTTGTGGACGAAAGAACCGAACACAAGTGAATACACTTTTCTCCGGCTGTATGGAAGTTGCGTTGGCAAGGTGGAACGAGCGGGTTTCTTTACACCAGCGTGGGCTTTCAACATTGGAAGCTAGCTCTCACTGGCTAAAACGGTCGTCCCGCGCCCTGGCTCACAATGAAAAGAACTTGACGAGTGCCTCGTAGAGCACTTTCGGATGAACTCCCGGTTCGGCCGTGTAGCGGACGCCGCGAATGACGCCGTCGTTCTTGTGGAAACCAAACTCTCCTACGATGGCGCCCTCTGGCGTGCGTTCCTCATATCGGAACTTGCGAAGGCTTCCGCCTGTGTCGACGGTGTAGCCGAGGCGGTAGCTGCTGCTGATGACTCCAGGCTCGGTCAGGTTTTGTCCACTGCCAGTGTAGTCCAAGAACTCATCCAGCAGGTGGAAGGTGGACGAGGCCGAGCCTTCCAGGGCTCCAACGCCGTCAGGCTTAGAGGCGGAGGTGTTCGGAGAGCGCGTGGTGGCACCTGCACTGTTTGTGCTGGTGGTGGTGGTGATGGCGCTGACGCTGCTCACTGTGCTGACGACGGCTCGCGAGGCCACGGGGACAGGGAAATGCTGCTGCTGCTGCAGCTGCTGCAGGTCCTGCGGTAGCTCCGAGAGTGGCGCCACTCCGACGGGGGCGGAGTCCAGGACTGAGGCGCTCAGCAGAAGCGCCGCCAGCAGCGCGACCCAGCACACCTACGTCATAAGCAGGGATTCATCAATGACAATTTTTTTCTGACGCCCCGTACCACGCATGCAAAATGTGGATATCTGTGAGTATATCTCTTCAGTCGGTTTAATGAAACGTTGGTCAGCATCCCTGCTTTCTTATACTACTGATCTTAGTTTCTTTCACTCTGTTTCATTTCAGCAACTTCTATTCAAATTGGCATAACTGTCGCCAGAACAACAGAGAGCTCCGTTGGTTGGTATTTATTCTAAAAGACAGGATGTGCAAACACGGACACAAGAGGAAGTCAGGGCACCACAAGGCATGAAAATCTTGTGGTGTACTTGCTTCTTTTTTGTCTCCTTACCTACATTTCTTGTATTTTAAAATAAAATAGTACTAACTTTTGACAGTAGCAGTATGGGTAGGTTGGCTTACAGGTTATCTGCACAATGCCTATGATACATTTTGTTGGCATGTGCTGTATGTATTGAATCATAATGAAATGCGTGTGAAATACACATCGAATGAAGACAGTAGGGAGTCGAACAAATCACATCTAGATATCGCAAGAATGTTTACTTGCGCTATTGCCGAAGAAATGCCGCAGAAATAATACGCAAAAGTTGCATCATGCATGTTTCACAGAGACCTATGTACTCAAATTCCGGTTCAGATTGAGGAACATGATGTGTTTAAAGTTAATTGTTTATTGCTATCCCCAGGAGCACATGTGCAGTACCGAAGCTCATATACAAAAAGCACAAGTCATAAGTACAAAAGCACAAGTTTAAATACAAAAAAATGAATTGGTAGTTATTTATTTTTATTTACTTATGTTCGTGATGGCGTGCTTCACACTAGCTCTGATCACATGATGCAAGGCTCTGCCTTGCATTCAAGTACAGTTGCGTGTTCCTTGGATTTATTTTATGTTATAAGCGCCATTCAGCAATCTAAACCCTGCGACTTCGTTCTGAGCTGCGCAAAGTAATAACAATTAGGTCAACGTGACAAACAAATAGCTGACTTCGTTGTGTACAGCATAAAATGAGCAAATTTTGAATTAATCAATAAGATAGCGCCCAACACAACCACAACTCGTGTTCGTATGGCCAACTCTGCTCAACAAACGCCGCAGAGGGCTGAAAATTTCTTTCCCACTACCGCACCGTGTCATTTGCGTCACTTAGTGCTCGAGCAAGGTCGAGATCACAGGCGGGGTGCGGCAAGGACAGACAGACCACGCCTTTACTGAAACGTGCTTAAGCATCGCGTTGCAGAATTACGCCCGTGGCAGGCCTCGGTCCTTGCATCTTTCCTTATTTTTTACAGCAATCTGCTACCTCTAAAGCCATCGAAAATAATGGGTTACATTCATGAAGCTTGTCATTTCGAAGCGTTTATTAATAATATTATTCTTACTACTGCCATTTGGTGATATGTCACTTGCTAATGATGGGATCATACTAATTGTCTTCATTTATTATTTTCAAAACCCCTACTGTACCAGTGAACCTCATTTTAAAGCACTCATTATCCAAAACATATTCGAAATTTAAAACAAATAATATCTCTAAAATGAGGTACCATCCGTCTCATGGCCGATCTCCCGTGGTGGGTGCATGGCTCCAGGTCACTAAGGAATAACCAAACAACCGCTAACGATATGCCTATCATCTGCACTCGTTGGAACTTCCTCTTAATATCAATGCAAGCGTGAGATATTCATCGTAATTTACTAAAGAATTTTTAAACAGATAAAACAAAACTTTTGTCGTGACCATCTCTGCATAGATAAAGTGAAGAAGACGTTTTTGTCAGTGCTGCTTGTGAGCCATTTGACCTTTTTGAGTATTCGTCGATAACGCTGACGAAACGCGCAAGGTATTTATAATTCAGTTGTTCGCTACTGCAGTTGTTTTTGTACTTGTAGGTATTGTTTTTGATAGTTTTGCCGTGGTACCGGCAATTTTGAGCAGACCACATTTCAAATCACCAACACTAAATAAAATTCCAACAGTCTGCATATTACCATATTCTCAAAACTTTTACACAACCTACATGTGTCCCATGAAATACAGTGTGTAATGAATGAAAGGCAATCAGATTTACTACCTACATTACCAATAAATAACAAGACAGACACGTCACACACGTGACCACACACGCCGATAACGCCAGCGTAATAATAACGCATTCCATTATTCCTTTTTTTTTTCTAGATGCATTCCAGAATATAAGACTAAGTTATAGTTGATCAGCGTATATTTGACCAATTTATAAAAAGGCTGCATGGTAGACATGTTACATAATCAACAGCTTGGCAGCGTAGTATGTAATGCATTTTTCTCGTGATTTGCTCCTTGTATCGTCTTTTGTGCTAGTAAAATCACCGTTACAAGTGTGACCTTTGCTGTCTTTTTCCCTGTTATGTTTATATAACGTGAATATACCATTCACTATTGCTTGTCTTGTGCATGTAGTCTCCTGTTGCCTAATTTGTGTTGTTCAGCGTAACTGTTTTTGCTTATGTGAATGTTTTTTTTTCTTTTTGTTTACTCCCATTTCTCTTAAAACCCTGTAAGGGGTTAACAGTATGTTGTAAATAAATAAAAATAAATAACAAACAATTAAAGAAAAATATAGTGTTCAGACGCCAACTTAAGCGCACCACATTTGTAGCTACTAGCACAGAGGACTTCCGGCCCTTCAAAAATTTTAAAGCAGACAGTCAAAATAAAAAAAAAATACCAATCAATCAATAGTTACATATAATAAATTTTCCTTCCCCTAAACAACAAGCGGGCAGGAAAGCTGGTATACATAACGCGGCAATAAAAGAAGTGAGCGAGTAAGGAATATTTAAAAACTAGGAATATAAACAGGGTGGCTTCGTGATTGCGAAGCCACGAGTCCGTGAAGGCGGTTGGCATCTTCCCTTCACAACTTCGATGCATGAACTAGCACTTTCAGGGTGACTTATTGAACACCATTTGGTGCAGTGGAACTTAAAACGAGGGACAAAGAGGAGACAGACAAGGACGTCGCTGATTAGGCAACCACAAGTCCCTGAGAGTCCCTGAGACCAATTTTCTCCGAAGAATAATACACTATTCGGGATTTATTTCCTGATCCTTCTGGTTTTCCGCCTAGGATGACAAGCCAGTATGGAATAAGTACAATATTCTTCAGGATATCAGCTTTGCTTTTTCTTTCATGGCACACCAAAAAGTAAAAAAAAAATGCTGATCTCTTTCTTAGTCTACACAAGCCTAGATTCCCATCGACCGTTATCTAGGTAACTGCAATGGCTGACATGTCATGAATTCAGATATGTTTGCGCAGTGCGAGAATAAATTTTACGATGTAGCAATGTCGACTGTGTGGACGATCAAACGTTATCATGAGGGTATGCATGCGGACGACCTTTCTTTACGCGTGCGAACGCTTTTCGCCTGGTTGTATTCACGCCTCAGCACGAACGTGCATCAGTATACGAAGGAGCTATGTAGGGCCTTTTCAAACGCAACGCGCATTCTAAGGCGCAGTCAACCTTGGACCAACAGAAAAGCGTCGCTGCCGCTCCAGCTGTCGGTCGATGTCCATGTAAAATACCGAAGTGCTAAGAGGTAACATAGAGACACGTGCACGGCGTTTCCACCCGCGTAGATTTCCATTCCTAATGCTTCAATCACGCTGTCCGCGGTCACGCGGTCTAATAATGCGAGCACGCCGCGCATTCGTTTGTGCGCGAGTGACGGCCGACGTTACGAAATTCGTCCCTGTCGATAGGCGCTCGGAATGCGCGCGCAGTCAGAAGCCATCACGCCCATCACGACCGACCGGAGGCGATGTTCTGCGCTCGCCGCAATCGATTTCACTCCTGGATTCGCTTGCACTTGCGAGCTCAGTCTCCGCGATGACAATGCTTACGCCGTCCGAGAATTTCAGCTCCTTCAACTCCTTATGTTTTATTCTTTATTTCTTATCTCTATTTCTTAACTAGCTTTCCAACCTGTTCGGTTTCTATAAAACGAAATGTACCAGCGGTAGTGGTTCAGCTGTTATACGATAAGGATACTAAGCATGACAATGCATTCTCGAGCTGGGACAATGAAAACCGAAGTTTTATAGGGGTGAAACGCAACAACCGCCTTGTACTTATGTTTAGGTGCTAATAAGATAACCAAGCTGCTTAAAATTAATCTAGTGCCCTCTACTACGGTGTGTTTCGTAATATGGAGGTCTTCTAGGTAGTAAAGGCTTCTTTTTATATTTCCTCTTTTCTTGCTCTTCTTTCTTATTTATGTTAACTACTATTACCCCTTTCGTTTCCCCCACGCGTAGCGTAGCCAACCGAGCTGAGCTCGGTTAACCTCGTTTCCTTTCCCCTTCATTTTTTCTTTCTATGTCTCTTTCTTCTACAAAACTGATCAAACGGGTCGTAAGACAAAGCGAAGCGAACGCAAAACACGGTTTATTGCTATTAGAGGGTAACATAGAGAAAGCAGAATCTGCGCAGACGACTGAACTATTAGCAAGCTGAACGAAATTCACAGTGCCGAGTATCTCCTGAAGTTATTTCGTCCTCCGTACGCCTTTCGCGCTGGTTTTAAACCACCTCTATATAGTGTTGATCTCAGTATATTCAAATGGTAGTTACCGTTAGCAAGCGCATGTTCTGTCGTCTGCATACTTCTTTTTGTATACTTCCTTCATACTTCTTCCTTCTTACTTCTTCCTGTTCGATTCTGTCGTAGTAATGTCATATTGACAGCCTTGCTCTGTGCAGTAGATTCGTTAATTTTAGGCCACAGCGCTTCACTCTGAATTTTGCGAAAGTTGCTTCTCACAAAACTTGTTGACATTTATAGTTATTTCTGTTCACACAACCTAAAGAAACCAAGTTACGACCATATCATGTTAAATGTAGCAGAAGGAAGAGGAGTAGGAAGAGCGCTTTTGTTAGCAAAGAGGTATTTTTTAAAATAATATTAGGAGTATGACTTTTTCAATCACGTTC